AGACGCTTTTATCTTGCAGCTTGATGTCTCTGAGTGTGCATAGGCATCAGAGGTTCTTAGAATCTAAACGAAGTCATTAAGGAGGATTCTTAAGACAACTGGCAGCATATGGGTGATGTGACAAGGTGAGCCCATTGCAGGAGACTTGCTTATCAGAGACAGAACATTATTACAGTTGATGTAGATTTAAGTATCTATTCTCTGAGAACTAGTAGTACTGTATTTCTAGATAGATAAAACTGCTGGAAAAATGCAGAACACAGACTTGGCATTTCACAGATCCTTACATTTACATGTTACATCCAAAGTATAAGTAGTAACAGATACACTGTCTCTTTGTGTTCAGCAAAATTTCTTGTTTGCCTAACATGGTGATTATAGTACATACTAATTAAAGCATGGGTTTTCTTAACAGTTCAGTTTACTGTTAAGTAACTGCCTGCATCCAGCTGATTTAGATTTTGCCATCAGGTACTGAGGCAGTTACTATATGCAGTATTTGTTTCAGAATTAAAGTAACAGGATTGTTTTGATGTCTCCTAGACTCCTGACAAATTCTGTTTTTAAAGCATTTACTTGAAGCTTCTGCTTGTTATGAACATATAACTAGAAGTTCCCACAGCTTTCTTTATAATGAGATACTTAAAGAGTAGAATTTAGGCAGGGAGTAATTCATCTGCAGGCAATATTTGTTCAAATGTAATGGTACAACATCTGCTTTGTGATGCCATATACGTACTACTGTGTTTTGAAGGGAGGTTATTTAACTTGTTCATTGCTGCTACTAATAGGTTGGAATCCCACTGCACAAGACCAATTTTGACAGGTGTTGCGTGCTGCGTTGGAAGCATAATGCTGTTATTACTAAGGTGAGGTGAAAGATGATCCCAACAATTTTCTGGTAATGAATAAATAATTATTTTCCGAGAAGCTTTACAGTATTTTAAAATAATTGTGCCATCAGTGTCATCAGTAAAACTAAACTGTGGAGTGACTGTTGAAGTGTGCTTTGGATTGTAAGATTTTAATGTTAGAAATAAAATGTTTGAGCTATTGGAGCTATAAAATTGAGCTATTTGGAGTGACTCAAATGGCGTAGTATAGCTGTTGGTCTTCCTGGCTATGACAATTCATTATCTTGAAGGTATGTAGAACACTTTTGTCATTGTCATAGCAGCTTGTTTAGCTGTGGAAGAGCAGCTAGCCTGGCTCATTAATATTCCATCACAAAAATATTACATAGAAAATTCAAGCTAGGTTCTCTAATAAAGGTAGCAAAGAAGAGATATATATTAGGGGTTTTTTTTTCACCTTTTCCTCCAACTGCTTTATAACCCTTTCCTCTGTAATACCTAAATAATGTAACTGTAGTTAGGACACTCAGCTCCCTAGCATTTTTCCAGAATACCTAAACTTCTCACCCTTAACTTTTATTTAGAGAAAAATATCATCTTCGTTTCAGTGTTTTGGGTGGGGATTTCTAGTTTTTGTTTTCTTCTTTTTTTCTTCTTTTGTATTTTGTTTCATGGTGAAGGATTCAGTAGAAGAAAATACATTGAAAATTCCGAACAAGAAGAGGGAACTTGCAGCAGGAGCCTTTGCTACCAAAAAGCCTTCAGCAAGTGAAATAAACCAAAAAACATTTATCGAAATTAAGGCTCTGATTGATTTGTAGCTTGATCCTGTGGTATTTTACATAAATAACATATTTAACATTTTGGATAATACTTCTCTTCAAGTTACATGTCCCACGCTAATTTTCAGTTTTGCTGTCTTTGTGCATGCTCAAAATAGAAATGCTTCAAAGAAATTATAAAAACTAATTTTCTCCTAAAATGTTAATTTAGAAGCACATAAACTCCTGAAAATTTTCCAGTGTTCATTTCTTCAAAAGTTTGCTTATTAGTAGAATTTTTAAGAGCACAAAAAAACCCCCTCAAAACCAAAATGTGCATTCATGCATTCTAACCTGCAAGTGTTTAATGTCATTTTAGAGGTGAAAAGGTAATAAAAGGTAATAAATAATGTGCTTTCTCCTTCAGATGAAACCCTCTATAAATGAATTAATTCCATGTTTCTATCTTAGTATTGCCTGGTGTACAAACAAATCATCTGGATTGATTGGGGGAAAAGGTGGTCAGTGACACTTTGTAAAGAATTCTTATTTTTGCAGGCTATGTCCAAAGATGGTATTTAATTCAAAATTTTAAAGTATTTTTTTACTATTTCTGAATAGTACACAAGTGAAGGAGGGAGTTCCTCTGATAATTACTTCCCAGGAGTTAGTAAAAAGTAAGTACTTAAATTTGTGAAACACTTTCTTTTAATATTTTACTTATCAGAACTCCAATGATTTTTGTAAAAGTAAAGGGGTTTTTTGATAAAATGCTGGAATCATAGGCATGTATTGACAGCATGCTATCTAGTAATTTCAATAGACACTTTGAACAATAAGACCGTGCTATATGCAAAGTAGAATCTAATCCACTCGTGTCAGTGAACGAGTTAATCCTTGCAAAATAAATTAAAACAAACAAATTATTTTATAGCTGCCAGCTTTCTAACAGTTTTCCTGTACAGCTTTCCTCTTGTAGTAGAAAAATGACGTGTTTTTCACTCCCATACATATGTCTTCATGGAATGCTGATCTACATGCTGCTTGACTTATGGAGGAAGAATTTGGTAAACTACACCTGTTCATGTACCACGGAGTAAAAAAGAGCACTGAAGAATCTTGGTTGAATATTAGTTGAATATTTATGTTCCTTTCTTTCCATTTGCTTCTCGTCTTCTGATATGTGTTTGTCTTCTGATATGTGTTTACCTAACGTTCTGTTCCCTTCACTGTGATGCTCAAACTTCGAATTTGAGGCAGAGATTGCTATATCTAGGTCCTCTTTAGATTTGGGAAGTGTAGTTGGCAGCAGAGAAATGGAGTCTGTAAAGCTTGTAAAGACTTTCACCTCTTATGTCTAAGAATAGTGGCCAGCTGATTATAAGATGAATTGCAAACATAGATGGATTGCAAAAATGGAAAAGGACTGAGAAATAGAGGGAATATGTCTGTTATTTGGAGAAAGTGAGCTAATGAAAGGAGCGAGGAAGGAATTAAAAACAAGCAAACTAACAAAACTGATGCAGTTTTTGGAGAGCCAGCACCTTAGCTGTGGAGAGAGGCATACTTCAAGTCTGTTAGAGAAAGAATTACAAGGACACGAATAATGGAAGACAGCATGAACCCCAGTATCTGATTGTCACTGGAAAGATGAAAAAGAACAAGGAGACAGAGCTAAAGCTGATTGAAGTTGGGTTTTGAGTGGGATTTTTTGGGTTGGTGTTTTTTGTTTGTTTGCTTTTTGACTTGTTTTTTTTTTTTTTTGCATAGAGTTTATGTAAGTTGAACTTTCTTTGGGTTTTTCTGGTTCAGATTTTGATATCTAGAGATAAGCTGGAAAAATAATTTGCAATTATGAAGGGGGGATTTGGCCTTTTTTTTTTGTTATGACATTTCTCAAGTAAAACTTTCACAGGCATGAGAACCAATTCTATGGCTAGTCAAGCTACATCATTACTTACGTAAAAATATACTGACATTTTGCAAAATGGCTTGTGATTATGAAAACAACTGAAAATAATTATTAGTATTTTTTTTGTCTATTAGATTATGCTTTCCATGTTCCAAAGCCACATATAACTTACTGAAGGTAGTACTAAGCTTTATGATCTCTCCCAAGAAAGCCATTAATTTATCTCAGAGAAAAGAGGTAAAAGCTGAGCAAAGTTTGATTTGATGGAATTGTTCAGTAAGAAGTATTTAAACACCTTGGTCTTCTGGCTGCTTGGGCTCTTTTCTGCTTTTTAATGATCTGTAAGTGGTCTTTGGCTTTTGGCATTCTCTTTCATGGAGTTTGAACAGTGTGTTCTGGAAGTAAGCTTTTAGAATTATTTTTAACTCCAAAGATTGAGTTAGTAGTCTATCATTCTGGTTTTGGTTGGATTTTGTTTGCTTGTTTGGGGTTTTTTGTTTCTTTTTTTTTTTTTTTTTTACCCTATACATAAAATAAAGATGTATGTGGATAAAATGCTTCTTAAGCTTTTAAGAGTTGCTCTGAGTTGTCACCATTTAAGGAACACCTTACCTTAGATTACAAGCTTCATAATGACAAGTGAAGTTCCAGTATTTGAGTTGCAATCTAAGCAGGGCTGTGATTGTTCTGAATAATGATGTTTAGAGTATAGTGCTGTTTTGAGTACCTTCAGATTAGTGCAGAAAACTTCTTGATGTATCAAGTGATGCTATTGCAAGGGATAAAAAGGGATCTCTGCTTTTCTGCAAAAACTGCCTGCAGCAATTGTGAAGGAAATGGTGGCAAATGATGACATAAAGGTCATTTTATTGAAAATAAGCTGCATAGAATTTTATATAGATGTCATACCTTTTCTGAGGCTGTGGTAAACACTTGGTCATAGTATGAGTTACAGAGGCTACAACAGAATTATTTTCACAGGTTATCTTTCTTCACTAACTGTATTTGTTAACCCAAAACATGCTGGTTTTCATCTTATTCAGCATCTCTCCTTATCTTATTGTATTAACGTAACAAAACTTACATGCTAAACCAAATGTTCAGGCAGGTAATAAATATCATACTTTTAGACTTTCTTGGTTCTCTCCAACTAAGCTCAAAAAGAAGTAACGTGCCTATTCTCAAGTATGAATACAGGCAAGGGGAGGAAAATTTAGACTGTTTAGCTTAAAAAGAGTATTTTACCATTTTCCATAGGGCAGTCTTTGAATATGCAGAACTCTCCAATATTTGTTTGATATAGTTTTTCATTACTTCAACTAGTAATCCCTCCTGCTTTCACACAACTTCAAATTTATCTGTTAAAAAAAAAACCAAAAACCAAACCAAACCAAAAAAACCCCCAAAACAAAACACACACACAAAAAACCCAAAAACAAAAAACAGAAACACAGCAAAAGAAAAACCTATACAGGAAAGGGCTAGTTACAACTGGGAGTTCAGCTACTCTACAAGCTACTTTGGTTTTGGACCTCATCTTTTAGCATTTTTCCTAAATGGTGACCAACTAAATCATAGAGCAATTAAGTAGTGAAAACAAGTTAAAACAGACCAACCTCGTATATACTCATATTATGTCTTCTGCTTTACCAGCAAATGATGAGAGCTTGTTGGTTGTTTATTTTATCTCTAGGCTAAAGGTTTAGCACCCTCACTAGATTCCAGCCAAAATCCTCCTCTGCTAGGAAATAATGAAGTAATATTTTTTTAGAGTATCTGGATTAATACAAGGCACAGCTGTCATAGAACACTAATTTTGTTCTGTTTAGACTTTTGGCTAAAGGATAGATCTAAACCTTGGTACAGATGACAGCCAATCTGTTTGTCATCACCATGCGTTATTTTTACTGCTTTTCCATGTGTCTTGGAGTACATGTAACCTGAGTGTGGCAAAAAAGCACTTTCTTTTACTGTCTTTACACATGGAAAGAGTAGTTTTCCTTATCAGGGTAGGTACAGTTACTTAAGCAGCTATGTAATCTTTCTTTGCCAAAGTAGTATCACAGTTGTGTTTAAGACTGAGTTCAGTGTACAAGGCTTACATTAGGGAAGATGTTTCTTTAGTCACTTGAAAGAAAATGCCTTCTTCCCAAACTTTTAAGTTATTAACGTAAGCAGCTTCAGCAGCTACTTCCTCCAGTGCCCTGTCCTATATTTATGACAAGCTAATGTGGGGCTTGGCCCTAAACAGCTCTCTGGCAAATGACTAAGTACCTCTAAATAATTATGAACTAAAAGCTGAACATTTGCTAATGAGAGCTTGAGTAGCATCAGCAAAGCTTATTTAAAAAGGTATTTATATCTGTTGAATATTTTAGTTAGACTGCTTTGGAGCTCCTTTTATTTTAATCGCTCAAGAGTTTAGGGTAGACAGAAATGCATGACAACTTTTTATTTTTGTATCAAGTGCAACATCGCAAGGAACAGATAAAACTCAGTTTACTAGTCCCATAGTATACAGAACTGAAAAACGCATTCTGCCATGCTGCAGGCACTGTGCGTAAGAACCTGGTCAAAATTTCAGTGCAATTGTGACTGGAAGAGCAAAGCAGTGCTATTACTGTTACAACGGTATGTATTCCCAGTGTCATTAATACATTTATGGTAAAGCAGAATGGCTACCACTCCAGTGTATGAGCAATCCCATGAATTAGATTTTACATCTAAAACAGCAAGCAAAGGAACCAATGCTAATCACCTTAATGAGGTGAGGTAACAAACCCAGTTCAAATAATATGTTGAGCCAATTGATCAAAACAGAAGAAATTTTAGGCTGAAAATACCTGGTTTTATCTAGTAGGGAGAATTGAAAATTGGGCAGTAATAGGTAGCCCAAGGATTCTGCTTCCTAGCTTTTGCTTAGTCTTCATCTGTAGCACTGCAGAGGCCTTCAGCCAAGAAGTTTTTCCTCAAGCTACTAGCAAGTGTAACTGACCACCATCTATACCTCTCTAGCTGTTAGTTCTGGAACAAGTCCTTGCATCACCACTGTTTGAGACAGGCACTTCTACTGAAGGTAGGTATCCAGTTTCTTCTTGATGTTGTCAAAGGAATCCACTCCCATATAGTCAGCTTGGCCCTGTTCCCACCGTTCCTTGCGTTCTTCTGAAGATTCAGTTGGTAATAGTGGTGATACTGATACGTGGGACACTGCCTCTGTAACTTCTGCCTAAAAGGAAAGGCAGAGTAAAAATACAGAAATATCTTGTACAGCTAAAGCGAGCAACAGGCCATAGAATGGGGCAACAAAGTAGATGTTATCATGTGCAGTAGCAAGCATTGCCAATGGGTAGGGATTGTGCAGCTTTCCTAGCAAAATAACAAAGCAGTTACAGAAGTTAGCAAGGCAAAAAAAAAAGAAAAAAGTAAAGTTTAATTTCTTCATACCTCTCTACAGAAGCCACAAGAGAAAGCCAGAGTATAGACCAAGCCCGATAGCTGCAAATAGTTTGTTAGAAAGATGCAAGATTACCAAGAGAAGCACATCTTAAGAGATCAGTAACTTTGGTCTTAGAAAGGCTGAGAACTTAAAATGGTCCATGCACTAAGCTAAGACTAAGAAGTCTGCAGTCAGATGCAGGCTACAAAACTCTGTGAATGAGAACTAGAGTTAGAAGCATTACTTTGGTTTTAATAAGTACTGGCATTCGTCACTGCCTGTTGATACAAGTATTGATTCTCAAATTATCCTAGGCTTACCTAAATGTGATTCACCATGCAAGATCTGTATGTACATATTTGCATGCTGAACTGGGGTTCTTCTGCTTGAGAACCTTATTAGCTGCAACACATTAAGGAGTTAGGCTCTTCTCTGTATACATTAAAGAAGTTACTACATCCAAGAAGTTACTGCATTATAAGACCTGGTGCAACATTAACCATGTACATAGTTTGTTTTAGGCAAGCTATGTCCAAGACCTGTCTAGCATGCTTCTCTTTTGTAGTATTATTTATTCTAAGCTTAAAAGGACAAAACTAAAAGACCCTGCATCTCACAAACTAAACCACACCCATGCATTGAGATGGACAGAAGGAAGGGAAATTGATGCAATGGTAAATAACCTGTCATCCATACTTAGGTATGGATGTACAAGATCATTAGAGCACGCACCATATTTACTCCTGTAGGAATTTCTTTAACAATTCCGTGCTGTTCTAGTAGTGGTAAAACATCAGCTATGTAAGTATCCCACCACATGTTGAGGAATTCCGGGTGAACTATTTTAGGGTCGTCCATGTTGCCCTTTATGCTTTTTGTTCTGGAGTCATATGTATAATTCCATGGCTTTGTGCTTCCCAGGAAATGCACCACCTTAGTATTTGCACCAAACCTGTTTGGCAGAAAAATTTTAGAAGTCGGTTTGTACATGTGTTTAGAAAATGAGTTTTGACAGGCAGACATAACGTTTTTTAACCTGCTATTTCTCTATTTGTCCAGAAACAGAAATATAAATCTATTTAGGAGGCTAAATGCTAAATGATCATACTGCCAGTGCCTATTGGGACTGAAAGCATTGCAATACAATAGAAAACTGCAAACTGAATTCTACATTACACTAGTCAGAATACAGCCAAAACCTAGTGGTCTGGGCTATTTAAATACTTACAGATAACTCAAGTCTTTAGGGTGATGTCCATAGCTCAGGAGAGAGCAGTCTCAAGCAGCCGTTGTAATCGGAACTGGTTTTAAAAGTGAAAAAGATTCTACTCCAAAGTCAGCAAGCCAGAGAGTTAAGCATTACAAGTATTATGTGGAAAAGGGTCACTGTTAAGAGTTACCCTTTCAGTTTTATAGCCCTGTAGAAACAGATCATTGGATGGCTCTACTGCAAGGAGACCATGTCCCTGCAAAATAATAACTTTGTATAACCAAGGCATTTCAGAAGACCCCTGATCTCACTGCAGCAGGATCTTGCTAGACAACCCCTACTTCCTAAAGAACCATGCGTGGGCAGCCATGCATGGGTGCGGTAGAGGGTTATTTTAGTTTGTTTTTAAAACCATTTAAACTCCATTTTCAATATGGACTTCTAGCTTTGTCCCAGCTGTTATCAGTATGTTTTTCTGTATTAAAAGTATAGATGAGATGCACCTCAAGTCAAGCACTTGACACTGAACAAGACAACATTTATGTCATTCTCCTACAGTTCCAGAACTGGGTTTCAGCTTGATTTAGTTTTGTGAACAAGCAATACTAGTCTCTCTGCTAACAGTGAGTATCTCCCCTTGTTCAGTCTGTATCACATTATGCTTTCTTATCAACATAATATGACTGAAATGGACAGTAACATCAAATAGCTTATTTAACATTTTATTAAACAGATGCTGGTCATTTTGACCAGGGCTCAGGTGTTAAAGAGTTTTATGTGTGGAGACAATACAGGTGTTTCAAAAGCCATAGAATATTCAAAGCAAGTATGCATTTGGATGGGGCTGTGGGTTTCATACTATTTTAAGGCCCTTGACTGTATTTCAATGTTAATTTTCAATGTTTTGAATACATCTGATTTTACTGCAGAATGAAGACTTATGTGTGCATGAAAGGCCAAGTATTTGCATTAGCTGCACAAAAAGTGTCTTCAAGAGGCCAGTTACTAGGCTTTAACTTTAAACTCCAAAAGTCAAGACTTAGCATAAGGGCACTACCTTAGTTTTATTAGCTGTCACAGTACTAAACAACCTGAATTTTCATCTTAGGCTGCTGCTGTTCTGAAGAAACTTATTGTTCAAAAATCAAGAGACGTTAAGCTAGAGAATAGAATGCATAAGAAGTATCACGTGACATTTGTTGCAAATGGAGAAATGTACTCTTGGTATCTTGTCCACTTACAGTCAGAACAACAGATGCCAAGTTTCTGCAATGTTTTCAGCATCTGCTTTCTAGATACTTTCTGGACCCGTAATACTTTATTTTGACATTTGAGCTCAACTGTTAGGAAGCTTTATGTCCACACTGGCCTCAGCAACTAATCTGTCTTTCCACATCTCCCAGAAAAGTCCTTCATGAACGTTTTGAAGTTAGAGTGCATTTGTCATGAATTGGCATTTTCCTTTGGAAAAAGGATTACTGAGAGTGCTGTGAAATCTAGTCTCGCTATACAAAGCTGCAAAAAACTTAGCTACTGCTGTTAGTAGGTTTAAATTTCACTATATTCCAACTGCTGATTATCAGGAGTGTAGCTGCTGATCTAACCAAGGGAACTTGTTCCACCTATTGAGCAGGGAATGTTACTTACAAGGGCTGTGCTTCCAGCATTCTATTTTTGAAGGTCTGATTAATTCAGTTAAGCAATTGATTCAATCGGGTGAAGAGATTTTTGTCAGGAGCTCCCAGATCCAATTAGTCTTTTGTGGCAACAAAGAATTTGTAAAATTAAGGTCACGTGACTAACAGCCAGCCATGGAAAGAGGGCATACTTTACAATAGATGTTAGTTTATCTAATCCTATCCAGCTACTTAGTCATTCTGAGGCTTGCATATATTTCTTTAAATAAGTGTTCCACTTTTAGCATGACAAGATTCCAAATAGTATTCTGATCACAAGACATAGTTTGATCTTGAGCCAGCAAGCCCTGCTTATGCCAGCTGCTGCTTTAGACACTAGTAACCTGATGTCACTCGGAGATCAGATTGTTTTTTTGCATTTGGCACTTTTCCTCTTCCTTGCATTCAACTTCTGTACCTCATAATAGATAAAGAGTTTCTGTGTTACACTTCAGTTTCCCTTCTTTCCCCCCCACCCCCTTTCTCCTGGACTGTTATAACACTTTGAGTGACCCTGCCTCTGACATACAGTTTACTCACATGCCAAACTATTGCTGCTAGCTAGGGAGGATCCAAGTTTTGTCACAGAGGAAACATGCAGCGATATGTGGTTGGCTATATTCTTTGTTCCATCTTGCTGTTACTTAAGGAACTGAAAAAGGTCTAGAAAGACTGTTAGGAGAGAATTCTAGCTTGAAACAAATCTTTGTTCACCACATTTATTTGAATGGTATAGGTTGATTAGATGAAACTGTAACTACTGGTGGTTAAATAGACTAAGTAATTGGAGTGAAGAAAGGGCACCAGTGACATGCTAAAGTTCAGGTCAAGTTGATTAAAGAGCCCACTGCCATTGGTTAGAAAACTGTATTAGACTGTATCCTATACTGGAGGAGTGGTTTTTCTTTCTGCAAGTGACCTATCAAATGTGCTTACTTTAAATCAACTTCAGTGCTATCACCAGGGATGAGTGGTTTAAGCTACAGATACAGCTGTCTCTCTGTGTTTATCTTGAGATGATTCATTTGACTTTCATCAGTTCAACCTTTTTTTTTTTTTAAGAGAAGAAATCATGATATTTTGAGTGACATGAACAGTCTCCTTCTAGAAAACCTGTGTAGGCTCACATCATGCCTGTTCATTCTGTTGCAAGAAATTAGTTTATGTAAGCTCTGAAGGGCTTGTTGAAGTTTTCAACTTACGCTTTAAATGCTGGAAGGTAGGAATATACAGAAGTGCTGCTCAAATTATAAATAAACGGTAGATGTTTGCTCATGTCTGTTGTTGCCCAGCTGCTGAAGAAGGTGTTTAATAACCCCTGATCTGCACCTAAAAGAGAAAGCATTAATAGGTTACGAGCATCAGACAGCTGTTTGAGGATCTTTTTCAGTCACCTTACTAAGTAAGAGTTGGTAATGCAGTTATCATGCCTTGTAGAAGTCTGGCACAGAGCACTACAGTTGTATTTGTGAACAACCCTGTAAACCTTGCAGCCTTTGAATACTCAAAAAATGCAGAGAACAAAACAGTATATGGGGTTGCTTTTGTTAAAAGATAGGAAGCTGCTCACAAACTCTGCCATTCACTTTCTTTTGCAGCTGAAGTTCAATCTCTATAAGGCAGCAAAAGAACCCCACAATAAAAACAGTACAACTGAGCACTGTTCAGCTTCAGGAAAAATGTAGCTCAGGAGATCAAATGGCAACAATTAATTTTATTACTTATGCTTACAGATGCATGACCAACATCATCTCACTGACAGACTTAGGGTATCAGTGGCCTGTTAGACCCGAAGTCCCAGATACATCTCCCTCCACACTTACCTGATAAGAAAAACACATGTAACCTTGGTGACAACTAATCTAGTTGAACTCCATCAAATTCCTTAACAGACAATAGGCGTTCCTAGTTCTGTACTAAAAAGCTCCTGACTAACCACTAAATGAGGATAACAATCTGCATTCAGAGGAGTCACCTCTTGTTTGCAAGTAGAGGTTGTTACAAGGTTAAGTGAATCTGAAGTTGTTTGGTATCTCCATAGTAGATTAGCTAAAAAAAAAAAAAATAAATACAGCCTTAAGGCCAGAGCAGACTAGTTCATAAGCAGTGATTGAGAAGTGAAAACCTATTTATCTATATCCATTCATTCTTTCTCACAATGTATACAATTAGTCTTTAAATGGCAATAATTCCTCTTATCAAGGAGATTGAAGAGAGTCCTCCAACTTTCACTTGCTGCATTTTTTTCACCTATCACTGCATTCACAAGTAGCATTATTAAAGAGTAGGTAAATGGGTAGCTTTGTTAGTAGACAATGTTTCATTCTAATATTTCATTTTCTCAACCACTCAGTCTCTGCTGACTCAGGAAAAGGTTTTTATTGGCCTATGATTCGATTTAAGGCAGTATTAAAGTTTATACTATCCGTGTTGTTGGAGCAGAATTTGCTTTTTGCAGCTGAAGTATCTAGACACTGGGCATAAACTTAGATGTACGGACAGTACACTGACAAATATAAATTCAAGGTATCCTGTTACAGCTGTCAGCGTACATGCAGATTGCAGAGTGAGAAACAGCCTGGAGACTCAGTCCAGTAATTTCAAACCTCTGACTTGCCTCTCAATCCATAAAAGAAGGAAAGCACTTTTGAAGAACTTGTATCCATCAGAAGTGAACAGAAGGGGCAGCAACAGTGTATTTAACTTACTCTGCAGGACTTTGGCTCAGATTGTTTTACATACTCGGCTTTTTTTCAGATTGCATGCATTTGTGCCAAAGCAGACAAAGAAAGCAACATCTAGCTGTCCTAATTCAGACGTCACTGGGAGTGTTGTTATATAAACAGGATCTCAGACATAAGGTGAAAAATCAGGCAGTATTTATATTAACTACATGTTTACAGACAATGAAGGTTACAATACAGCAAGACTAAAAGCAACTATTTTGGATCTCAGGCTAGAGTCAGAAGATTGTCTAAGCAATAGCAACATTCTTAAGGTAGCAATACTACCAGATTTCTTCTAAAATCCAACTTTCCTTTCCCATCCACGACTTTTAGATGATATCTAGAGTAGTTGCATGGCATGTTCTTTATTATCTAGAAAGGAGACTTTCAGACAGAGTAGATATCTACACAAGTAGCCATCATTCTGCCATTTCTGGACAACAGCATGACATAGGAGGCAGCTGTCTGCTGTTACATGCAAGAAATATTCTGGAAGGACTTCCATTCCCTAGTTACTCCTACTGTGGACAAGGCAGTTGCAAGCTTGACTTCAACTACACATAGTTTGGTAGGTTGTTAAGCTTGCATCCCTGTGTCCTATTATAAGCAGCAACCCTTCACAGGTTTATCTTACTATGTTTCCCAGACCCTTTTATTACTCTCTAGGTTAATTTAATTTTCGGTTCCCTTTCTCCCTGCTAAGTTCCTGAGCTCGGCAGTAGCTTGTAGCTTGGCAGTAGGTTGGTTGGTTTTGGTTTTTGGGGCTTTTGTTTGTTTTAATGCAACAATTCAAAGTTATGCTATAGATTTTGCCATAGCTGGTGATCAATTTGCACAGCAAGGTCCAGACCCTTATTACATGGCAGTACTCATTTTCATTGGGTAGCATTGAAAATGCAACTGTGACTAATGTTCTTCAGAAGGCCACACACAAGAGCTCCTGCAGTAACAAGGATTATTCTGCAGACATCTGGATATTTTACTTTTCACAAAGTACCAAGAGGTAAGTCAGTCAACAGGCTAGTTCATTACCGTCTGAGAGTTCCATTTTATGGCCTTATTTACATAGTTTTCTATCGTTTTTAAAGTTAGACTTTGTTTTGTACCACAGTAGTTACATAATGAAATTAAGTGACAGACAGTGATATTCAGAAGCCTTTAACTATAGCCATCTCCAAGTGACATATGCTGTTACTGCAATGGTAACAGACTTTGTAGACTTACAGGACAGCAGAACTTGGCTTCTCAAGTGAATACCCGGTACAGTGGCCAATCCCAAGTAACCTATAGTGGGAAGCAGCCAAGGCTACTACATGCACTTGATATTGGGAAAGAGACAGTCACCACCCTATAATGACAGGAAGCCACCACATAGTATATGAAGAAGAGAGCTGTATCTTCATATGTTTGAGTCTCTAAAGCTGTGCTCAAGTTGACCAGTACTATTTTTTCTACAGCAGCTTGAGTTAGTAGAGATAGAACATCCAAGCCTTAAGAGTTAGGAATGCCTGAAGCATAGTACTGGAATTTCATTTCTTGTTATATGATTTCTCATTATATGATTCTACACCTGGTAGTCTGGAGGCCCAACTCAGTTTTTATTTCATGAAGTCTGAAAAAAGTAGTTTTACTACATATTGTAATGATAGCCTCTGTTTCTGAGAAGGATACAATTTTTGCATAGTTACATGGAGAATTCTATCACACAGAGTCCCCATGAGATGTATGTACTTACTGAGCCATCCCAACTACTGTCACCATTTCAGTCTAGCTTACACTGAAATACAAATTAATACATACCATCAAAGCTGCCTTTCTCTGTGGCAAACTGTAGTAGCTGACTGTATGTTTCAATGGAAGGTCGGTAAACAAATACTCCTGAATTAAAACAGTCAGGCCAGCCTGGATCTGGTGCTGCAGACAGCTCTTCTCTCTCAAAAAGCTCATCTATATTTGACAAAACCTAATTGTAAAGGAGTTTAAAAAATACTTTTAGGTTAGGAATTGTGGTATCATACTTCAATGGATTTTGGCATCAACATTAAGACACAGAAAGTTCTTGTATCAGTGTTCATCTTACAGAAGACAATACAGAAATAGTCCCCACAGACATCATTACAGTTAGTTTAAAAGGCAGACATATTCTTACTGTTACTAGTCCATGTAGTAAAAGGCTTCTATTGCCTCTACTTGTGGAAAAACAAACAAACAAACCAACCAACCCACCAACCCATAGAAAAAAATCCAACAACCCTGATACTAGGTCTTTAAGAGGCGCCATGCAACACAGCCACTTACCATTGTGTCTGCATCCATGAAAACACACTTTGAAAACTGTGTCAGTTCCCAGCAGTGAAGCTTTGTTAGTGTGACGCCCAGCTCAGGTCTTTTCATTAATGCCAAGTGTGCTGAATCCCCACTATCCAAGACATTTACCAATATGACTTCATCAAAGACTTTTTCCAGCACTCTCCTGCGGAAGAGTCAATTGGCAAGATTTAGTTCTAGTGTCACTCCAACAATAGACCACATGACAAATTCTGTAAAGAGAACTGGAATAACAGAGAACCTCACAACATCTCTTGCTGAAAAGTAGTAAGAGTTGACTGCATATATTGGAATGCACAAGTACGCCTGTCTGCCACAAAGTTTGTAATGTGCACATTTTGGGGAACAGAGAAGTCTCTTGGATTTGGTTTTTTTTTCATTCCACAGAGTTTTAGTTGCCATTGTTATCAGGTTCAGTAAATCATAGCTATGTAGTACAAACTTTGCACAAAGTTTTTTTTTTTTTCATCCAGATTCTAATTTCTGGCAACTTAACAGTCTACTCTGAGAAGGCAATTTAAAAATGGGAAGCTGTCAGAGTAGCTTGAGCAGGACTGTAGCTGAATCCCAAACAGCTGAGACACAATTTTATGCCATACTTAAACTGCTCTGGATTTGTGACATCTGGGACACTTGAGACATCTGACTAGACCCAGTGGCTAAAACTCACTTTATTCCATAAAGTCTTTTCAAGACTGACTTAGTCATGGCTGTGGGTACAGAAATGTGCTGTGCCAGTATCATATTCACTAAAGAGTGGCAAACTTTCAGGCAGTGTAGGAAAATTGTGGCAGATATTCAACCTTTGCTTTATCATCAATACAGCATTGCCATTAGTTCAAGAGATTAAGGTGTTCATGCTGCTTAAAACAGGAAACATCAGTAAATCAGCATATCTTGAATGGTCAGCAATTACCAGTACAATTTGAGCCACAGAGCTTGTAAACAAGTTTTGAAACTCTTCCTTGCAGAGTTTATACTGACAGTTTGGTGTGGACAGTGCCTTTGAACTTCAGGCATACTTTGTTAACGGAGACAGGGCGAGAAATGCAAGTTTCAATTACACCACGATGTACGTAGGTATCACTGGTCTAAGGGCATAGTACTAGCTGGCTTGCACTAGCACATAGATACATTTAGGGATCATCTTAGAAGAGAACACTCACCTAGAAGGCTGGAATGGATGTTCCTATATGCAACATCTTAATATTGACATGACCATTCAGCTGCCAGGAGACTCCAAGGAGAGTCACTGCAATTTTCCATTGAGTCACCTCTGTATTGTGTCTATATATTGATAACTTTTCAGAATTACTTCCCCATGCAGAGAATCTTGACCTATCATCTGCAGTTCCCATAGTTATTAACTGTTTCATTGTCTTTTTTTTTTTAACTCTCCTACGCGTGGAAAGAGAATCCAGTCCACTCCATAGTGAGACTATACTAATGAGGCTGTAGAAAGCATTGCCCGTTAATTTCATTTGATGTACTGTGGTGACCTTGTTAGATGCCTCTGCTCAGCTGCTGATTTGACATATTTGGTGCTACTTTAGCTCTGCTTGCTTGCTTCTCCCATGATAAAATTTGAAGTGTCTGCTAGATTTCAAGAGAGCTTGTGTTACATTATCTCGATCAAGAATACTTCTGCAAAACAAATAAATACCAATTCCCTGCTCCCACCTCTGCATGCATACACATAGCATTAACAAACACACAGGCAATATCATCACACTGTTGGACAATTCTAAGTAGGACTACAAGAGCATAGATCTAGCGGAAATATCAGTATCAAGTCATGGTTTAGAGCTCTAATGGCAGACTATTTCTTTAACTCATCATAGGGAAGGAAAAAAAACACACCAAAACATAAACAGTTTCATGTTTGAAGAACTTGCAGAACTCCAGATAGCATAGATAAATTTAGTTCTGCTGAAAGTAGCTGTTTAGCTTCCAGAGTTTTGAAAGGTTACTAATAAGGAATTTAACTTCCATTTTTCAACCTGCATATCTGCAGGAACTGTTGCAGTCTGAAGTATGTAAGTGACCTTACCTCATAAGATCTGAGACCTGAGGAGTTATGAGTGCAGTCAACTTCCTTGTTGTCCTGTACTGTTGCAAGGATGACCCAAGTACCAATGCTCCTTTCACATAGGAGTCATTTGTGGCTAGAGTCACAAAAGACTGGTCTGGAAGAAATGAACTTGGTCAAGTTAGCATGATCCACTACTTTATTCTGAGACAGACACATTAGAAACCTAGTATTGTTGGGTAATCATGCTGTGAGACCTCTAAGATGTGCCCTTTAATTCTGTGCGTAGGGCCTTCCTTCATGACTCAATGAAGTAGATTCCTTGCATAGCTATATTTGCTATTGGTAACTTGACACATGGCAAAATGCAGTAAAATTACCCACAAAAATCAAGACTGTTGCAAGAGTACACCAGTTCAAATTTGTCCACATGTTAAATAAGTCATGCAAAATGTAGAGACAATCCAAAATTCTAAAGAGCCCTACTTTGGCCACTAATATGCTATTATGCAAAAAGTATTTGCAGTCTGTGGGCTTGCTTTTGGTCTAAAGTTCGTAGGGTTTTGTAGAGTTTCTCTAAGTTCAGCTCTCAACCCTGAAAGTAAAGCAGCATAAAACTTGCATTTCATTTTCTAATGAAAGCAAGCATTGAATTATATCTTGGACAACAGTTTGAAGTTTTGCTAGCTCAGGATTTTGCAGATGAGTTGTTCTGCAACCCATGATTGCAGCTCTGTCACAAGAATGCAAGATTTAAATGGGAAGTAACTAGTAATACAAAAAGGAGTTTAAAACTTGCAGGAGCAATTTTTACTCTTTGAGCAGAAAGAGGTACTATAATCTTCTGCTCCAGCTGTATCTTAAATACAGCTTAAGACAGACTGTTTTGCCATATAGTACTTATTGAAGCCATATTATACAAGCTTTGCATTATTTCATGCCATTTTAAACTACCAGAATGGGACTGACAAAAGCACACAAGTAATTTTAAAAAGTTATTCAGTTTACAGTTAACTATTTTCATAAGACCTCTTTCAAAGCTATATCCCTTTACAAAGCATGCTCTTTTCTACTAATCCATTTTTCACTTTATCAGCAAAACAGTTTCTTCCTAAGAATTTCAAGAGTCAAATTTATTTTAGCAACTTTGACTTCTTTTCTTTACAGAAGGTGTTAACTAAGTTTGATCAGAGTGAGAGTTCTGGGCACTTAAGAGGTTTACTATCAAGCTTAGTAGTAAGATTAAAATACTGACTCCTTTCAGAAATAATGTTGGCACAACTCCTAAGTTCGCAAGGCAGTCATCATCAATATCTTTTTAACTTAATACCCCCTTTACAGTTGAAGACAGACAATCATATACCATAATTGCCTATAAGCTCTGCAAACCTGGTCTGCAAGATCTATAGACCAGCTACAAAACCGTCTTTTTTGCTTAGCAGCAAAACCAACTAGTCCCAAGGGATTTAGATTATAGTGGTCAATCATGAAGATCAAAAAAGCTTCTATAATGCCGGGAATAAAGATTTCATTTCAATTCACTTTTAGCTGCCGATTTGTACTAGTTCACATTCAGCAAGTCTGCAGAACAACTTTATGTTTCTTTGAAAGGGCAAGTGTGTATCATTTTAAGTTGTATAAACATCCTCTTAATAGGACAGGGTTTTTCACTAGGTCATTTGCACGTTACTATTCAATACATGGAAGTCTGACGCTACGGTCTCAGATAGCTCACTAAAAATCTGGTGTAGACAAAGTGGGATTGTGCCCAATATTCATCTGAATATTGCTTGGGTTTTTTTTTTCCCCCTAGCAATGCAAGACTAATTTTTAAAGTGACCTTGCCACTGAAAGACAGGTCTTTTCTTCGTTGACCTGTTAGCAGGTATACTTCTACTCTGTCTCATCTTCTTGAAACATAATATTCACATACAAAGGTCTTCAGAGAAATAAAGTTAGTTTCATGATGGAGTAAAGGCTAAGAAGCCCCATAGTGCATTCCAGCTCTAGGAGGAAACTTTACAACTGCTTGACAGGAAGTGAATTTTGCCAACTTGGAGACCATCTAAGTCAGTATAACTTTTGAATAAACTATGTTCTATTCTGTATCTAAAGTACACTTGTAAGTACATGAGCCCATGCTACACTTTGGGCAAGACCAGCTGGTGCTTATTATGGAAGTTGTATCTGCAAAAGACTAGCCCATTCTACCTAAGCAACAGGTATTTCAGTTGTGTGGGTCTCCCTTCTCGTCCTTTTCCCCTTCTCTGTAAACACTTCCTCCACAGAATCTTCCGTTTACACAGCAGGCACTGTGAGGCCTGAAACATAATGAACTCTTGGTGACATTATGTCTGCAAAAGCAGATGGAATGAGAGGCAGTTGCACAGCTTCCTAATTGACTTACCCAGACAAAACCATGCTACTTCAGAGACTCCTTTGGCTGCCCAGTTCACAGGCCATAAGATCCCTTTGCAAGACTTTTTGTGCTAGCCCTTACACACCTACAAGCATCCTGGAAGTCTGAGCTAGAAGCAATCTTTCATTTGATGGTATGCAGGAGGTTACTGGAGTGTTTGTCCCAGATAATTTCAAAATTCCCCAGGAAGATTTTTCGTAGGCATAGCCAGAGTTCACAGGTGCTTGCCTTTCCTCCTATTCTCTGAGTTAGGTGCTAGTACATCTGATTTTTTTTTTTTTTTTTTAATCTCTCTAGGGATTCCTAGAGACAGGAGCATCTTATCAAGACATGCATCGGGGGAAAGACTTCCTGCACTCTTCCAGACCTGAAAATGAAACCGACTCTGCTGACAACTTCAGGTGAAAATCGAGGGCGGGGACCGACAAAAAAACCGGAGCGACACGTACGTGGAGAACGAGCAAGGACCTACTCACTGCAAACTATCAAAATCACAGAAATCACAAGCTCTTCCGGCGTTTCAGGAGAGACACTGGGTTTTCCCCTGTGAGCCGCTGTAGCCCTACAAGTGGCCTCTCCGGCCCATCCTGCTCCCCCACCACGCCGGCTACATCCCTTCCGTTAGGGGACGGAGCCTGGGGCAGAGCATCGAGTTAAGGCGCGGAGAGAACCGGCGCCGTGCGCGTCCTCTCAGACCGCACAGCGGTGCCCAGCGGGACGGCTCCGACCCCCCCCGCGGGTAGCGCCTGCCCCCACCAGCCAGAGCCCGCTCGCCGCCGGGACGCTGCCCACAAACAAACGGGCGCAGCCGCAGCGAGCCCCCAGCCGGGAGCGCGTGGCGGTTCCGCAGGCGCGGCCCGTGGCCCTCGCGAAGGGCGGCGCGAGTCGGGCGGGAGCACACTGACCTGCCATGGTGCCCGAGCGCAGGTCGGCTGCGGGAGACGCGACGGCCGCGGTCGGGGCTGCGCTGAGGCCGCCCCTTATATAGGGGCGGGGCCAGCAGCGGCGCGTCTGCGGCGGCGGGAGCAGGCCCCGCCCCGAGGAATCCCCGCGGCGCCGCGGGCGGAGCCCCCGCCATGGCCTCCAGCGGCGGCGGCACGTCAGCCCCCTCCTTCCGGGGCCGGCACCATCGCCGCGCCCTCTCCGGGAGGCCTCAAACCCCCCGGCCTACCCGCTCCAGTGCCTCTCGGGTAAAGTGGTGCTTGAAGATGCTTCAAAATACTCCACTGCGCGCATAGAGGGCGGGACAGGGTGCTGTGATATAGGCTGGGAGCTGTAGTGGTACACTAGAAGAGCATTGCTCCTGTGGCCGCTAAGCCCTGCGGGAAGAAGGACTAAAACCACTGGGAAGAGCTTGGCTCCGTCCTCTTGGCACTCTCCCTGAAGGCGTTAGTACAAGTGGATGAGATCCGCCGAGCTGCCTCTTCTCCAAGGCTGAACGGTACTAGTTCTCTCAGCCTTTCCTCCTAGGAGAGATGCTTCCTGGTCCCTTCATCATCCTTGTGACTCTTTGTTGCCCTCTCTCCAGCATGTTCCTGTTTTCCGTGCTGGGGAGCCCAGAACAGCCCTGCAGGTGTGGCCTCAGCAGTGCTGAGCAGAGGGCAGGGATCCCCCTCCCTCGATTTGCCTCGTGCAACCCAGAATACCATTCACCTTTTCAGCAAGGGCACATTTTTGGCTTGTGTTCAACTTAGTGTTCTCCAAGATGCTGTGATCCATTAACTTCCTCAATACAATGAAATGTAACTGCTTTTTGATCACAATAAACTGAGGGAAGTCTGTTAGGAAGGGAGTTTCCTTCTGTCTTGAAATGGCAAATGAGCCATTAAAGGATTTTAAAAATAAACAAAATCTCAAATGCAAACTCATGAAGAAAGAACACTCCCAACTCCTAATTTCCCCAGAATGAGAGATCGTGTTTGAACTGAGACAATTTTTGTAGACCTGTTTTGAAATCAACTTATTTACTTCTAAAAATACCAAAATCAAGAAGTGTTCCTTGACCAACCACAAAATAACAACCCCAAATCAAAATATGCATTTAGAGCATACCATTAATTTATAATCCAGCATCATATGCATAAAAGTGTGTGAGTCAGAATTGTCGACAATGCTAGTAATGTTCTACATGTATAGGGATTACTAATATTTTTTGGCGTGCAACCCTTTTTTCAGGTATCCGATGCTTTGACAAGCTTCCTCTATGATGCTATTAGGCATGGTTTGTGTCTGTCTCAGATGAAAGTTTTGAGAAATTTTTAGCCAGCACATTTCAGCTGGGTCTAGCTTGTTGCTTTGCCAAGTTTTTGAGAGAAAACAATAGCATAGCTGCTGCTGGTGACTGCCCTCCCCCCTTCCCTTGGTTCTTTTGTGTTATGTTAGAGTGGAGCAAAAGAGCATAATTCCTTCTGGTTTCCACATTAAACAATCAGAAAAAAACCCCTAGGATTGCCAGTATTCAGCTTGAAAGTGTGACGGAGAAGTGCTACATCCACCCCTATGCTAACACTTGTTTGCATATACACGTTTGAGATTTTTCTAATGTTCATGGTTGAACAGAATGTAAATTTTATGGTTCCCTTTTGTGACTCGATTACATGTGCATCTGTGCCTTTGTACTGACTGTTTACACTTCTTTCTCCATAACCTGAAAGGAAAAGTCACAGGAAGAACCTGAGAGAGAAACAGGTATCCCATTGGCTTCCAGTACAAATGGAAGAAAAGATCATGTGACATGAAGATAAAAGGGAAAAAACCCACAGAAAAGAGAAGAATGCTCAGGCAAAGATCTCGTGAGATGAGGGCTAGGATAGGAAAGCATCTAAGCCTAGGACAAGCTGGGCAAAACAGCAGCTTGGCCTCAGTTTTTATGGAAGGGAATAAATTTAAGACCAGGTTAAGTAAGATGTGAGGATGGGAACTACCCAGGAAAACTGTTACTTCTCAGCACACAATAAGACTTGATAAACACCTAGCGAGGAGGGAGAAGGAATAGATTTTGCTGGATAAAGAGACAGCATTCTGAAATAATGGACAAAGTGCTGCATAGCAGCTCATTAGGTGAATACTGGCACACGGAACAAGGTGCAAGTCCTGTGGAAAATGATCCTGTCATCATGCAATTAAGAAATTCTGTCATCATGCATGTCATAGAAGTCCAATTACCTTTATACATTATACAACATCCTATTTTTAATGACTGATTATGATATTTCAAAACATCAAGCACTAAAGAGGAGCTTTGAAATATACTTAGAATTTACACAGCAGTAACAGAAACTGCTATCCCTGCAACAGAACTGTTTAGTGTAAACTTCTGAAGTACTTGAATAGCCACTTAAATTGATTGTACTTAATAATTTTGCAAATGTGCACAATGTGTCCAACCATTAAGTTAATACAACATTGTAGAGAAGGTTTCAGAGTTAAACATTATTTCTGCCTTTGCAAAATCCGGGGAGAAAAATTTTTTAAAAACAACCCACAGGAGTTGATTCAATGTATCTAGTCCAAGGTTAAAATACTGGAATTTAGTTTTTACAACATCAAAATGTTAATCTGTCTGATTAGGAAAGAGGCCTCGATGGTGTGAAGTGCGTTGATAGATGAAAAGAATTAAATGGAGAGATTTAATTTCATTTTTGTCCAGCCATCTCTGTCTTGCCCTGAAGTTGTCACAAACTTCCTTGATGACAAAAACTGTTCTGGGTATCAGAAGCTCTTCTTACCTTGACCTTACTGCGAAGTAAGACTGAACAGTTATTGAGTATTCAGAGCAGTCTGCATAGAATTTAAATATTTGGCACAAAATTTTCCCAGTGCTAGGATTTCAGTGTAATGTAATTTACTCCAGTAGGACTGAAAAAGCTTTCATGTTTCTATTTGAAGAATTAAAATATTATGTTGTCACTCCAACTTATTTTAGCTTTTCACATTCTCCTTTCCTAACGGATATTCTCTTTGCCCATCCCAGAGCCAATTATAGTTCTGACCTTGTTTTCGTAAAAAAAATACACCTGGTACATAAATGTGATAATCTTCTAAAAAGCTAGGCTCTGTAATTTGCTTGGTTCATGTTACCTAATGCATCGCAGTGAGAAGATGTTTAGTGGATTCAGGAATTCTTGTAATTTCTTCTAGCTAGGACAATAAACATTCCTATAAGCAGGGAAGTGAGTAGGTCTCAGTTTCGCTTGTATTGTCTTTTGGGTTGATTCTCAGTGATCTGCCATGCAAGCAAGCTGCAGTGCAAGCTCTTCTCCTGGTTGCATGATTAACTTGGCATCTATTAAGAAGAAAATTGGTGGTGAACCTTTATTTCTCATTGGAAAAATAGTTACCTCTCTCACCAGTCTTTACAGGACTGTTAAAAAGTTCTAATGCTGAAACCTCCTGCTGCTTTCTTACACTTAATGAAAAGGTTAAATTATCACTGAAGATCATGGAACCAAGTACAACTACAAATACAAATACAAAATTCTAGTATCTCACCTGAACAGGCATGTTCTTCCTTACTACGGGAAGTGCTAGGACTCTTAATGCTCAAAAAACTAGCAGATGATAAAATTCCTGGAGATGCAAAGTTCTCAAGAAATTTTAGCAGGGATTTGAGAAGAAGCAGTGCCAATACTTCCACCAAGTTACTTAGACTTACAGCAATGCTTCTATTCCATGATAGATTTTTGTTGAATTTCAACCTAGTATTTCCTCCAGGCTAGGCCAAGTAATTAACTTTAGGGTTAGTCACATTAAAAAAAAAAAAAAAAAAAAATCAGGGTGATAAACTGGGAATGGCATTATTATTAAGTGAATACAGTTACTCCCTTTCAAAAAACCTTAATATCACCAAATTGAAATGCTTTAACCTCTTCCCTAGCTAAAGAAGTATAATAGAATCAGGAATAGAAATAGAAATAGAAATAGAAATAGAA